CTGTCCCCTACGGAGTCCCTTAATATCGCAGCTGTCCCCTGCGGAGTCCCTTGATTTCGCAGCTGTCCCCTACGGAGTCCCTTAGTGTCGCAGCTATCCCCTACGGAGTCCCTTGGTGTCGCAGCTGTCCCCTGCGGAGTCCCTTGATGTCGCAGCTGTCCCCTGCGGAGTCCCTTGATATCGCAGCTGTCCCCTGCGGAGTCCCTTGATTTCGCAGCTGTCCCCTGCGGAGTCCCTTGGTGTCGCAGCTGTCCCCTACGGAGTCCCTTGGTGTCGCAGCTGTCCCCTGCGGAGTCCCTTGGTGTCGCAGCTGTCCCCTGCGGAGTCCCTTGATGTCGCAGCTGTCCCCTGCGGAGCATACTTGATAACGCAGAGCCCGCGCTGCGGGCAAGCGCAAGTCTGGCACCACTGGGCTCAAAGAAGCAACAGTGTGCGGACCAAGTCGTAGCATATCCAAGTGGCTATGGAGACTGCAATCGAAGTCGGCAGATAAGAGAGTAACACCATGACACGTGGGAGTGTGAGGAGGGCCCATGACACATGGGAGTGTGAAGAAGGCAAGTCCTGATTTTTTTTGGGCTGGAAATCTGGCGCGTTTTATCTCACTTCGGCTACGTTTCTTCGTAGAGACCGTCTGCGAAGATTAATAGGGACGGCCACTGGTTTTTGAGGGGTGTTGAAGTGTTTAAACAGGCGTTGAAAAAGTCTTTCAAGAATTTCTGGCCAAAAGACGCACGTCTCAACGACTCACGGCCGGCCTCATTTTGCCAAGAGGGACTGTCCCTTGGTTCCATGAAAGGCGACCATCTAGACTCTTCATTCCTGCGGTGGGTTACATTGGCAACTGTACCACAACTGGTGAACAAACGTTGAATCCGAGGATTTTGACGCTACGGTAATCATTGCGCAATGCATCAAGTTTAGCCAGATGGGCTACTGCAAAGCGTTGAAAGAGGGCTCAACGAATTGGCCATGAACATACAATCACCGCGCCTACAGTGGCTAAACCAGAGCATGCGATGTGCATGTTGATGAAAGCGCACTAAACTCAACGGTGTAGAAAAAATGCCTCGTCTTGAGCAAAGCAACTTTTGTCTAGATTGGCCTTGTTATGATGTTGATTATTGGTTATCAACCGTGTAGGAAAATTCCATCTTGAGCGAGAATGAGGCGGGCAGAGGAGAGATTTTGCACACGCCGGCTGCAGACCTGCTGCTCCCTCCTACCTTTTGCATCATCAACTCTGCATCAAGGCCGAGTGTCTACAGTTCACCTCGGTGACCACGCAAGCTGTAAGCATCCGATTGCTTTCTCCGCCGAACGAAAATTAAGCCCTGATGCAATATGCGCTGTTCCTATTACCCGATATGGCGATCCCCAAAGTCTCTCTAATCTGACAGAAGACACCACAGAGGACGATACTTCTTATGAGACAGACTGCTGCATACTCCCAGATGAGGCAGCCCAATGGGCAGAGTCAAGGAAGATGCGCACGACTGACCTTGGGGCCAAGATTTGAGGAGAAGCAGTGCCACACCGAAAAAGTGATGCATTGAGAACTGCAACATGGTCCTTTCGCAATCCACCGCAGAGTGAATGTCAAGAGTCTTGACTGAGAGCGAGATTTGGCCTGCATGCTACTCCTACCAGACTAGACGATCGAATGAAGGCGTGTTCTCGAGTCGCCTACGCTGCGGACACCATCTAGAATTATGCTAGATTCTAGCCAAACAAGCTCGTGGAATGAAAATTTGTGGTGACCTGGAGGGACTGCTATGACCAGTAATTGTGGAGATGATAGCAAGAGTAGAAATGGCTACGGCGGCGGGAGAAGGACCGGGTGAGCGCCTCAGTGATAATTTCCATTGTGATCAGAGATCAGACTATTGTAATGAATTTCACATCTCTACTCAATATCTCTCACGTATCTTAGCACTGCGCTCTGTCACTGATAATATGCAGCCTTCGACAAATCGACGACATCACTGCCAAGGAAATAAGATACCGAATCGGTCTCCGGTGTAGAACGGGCCCGTTCCTCGACCAGCTGGTTCAGACCGACGCAGCCCATGTGCCTATTAAGGTTTGAGGTGCCGGCCGATCTGATCGTCCCGTTTCCAGTTCTCATCGTAGATACTGATCTTACTCAGGTCGATTACCTAGTCTTAGATATCGCGCAAGCTCCTGATCAGAAGGGCAACAGCCATTTGACCACAGCAAGAACATCTTCTAGATTGTTCCTTTGCCTTTGTAATAGACGCTTGTCGCAGGGCAAAACCGAGGATCTGCGGGTACCCTTGCGAGACTTTGGCTGATTGGCAGTCAATTTTGACCCACCAGGCTGCGGGCCCTGCTCCTTCTATTCCAATTTAGCGGTCCCGCAGACACGTTTAGGCCCCTGTCTCGAGCAATCTAGATTGGTTCGACACCTGCTGAGGAATTAAGGGACCTTGCCTGATGCGGAGAAGCCGTGAATGTCATTATGACTCAAAGTACCAGGAGTCGGGTTCCGCCTCGCTTGGCCAATCAGATGCCAGTATGTGCTTCCAGAACGTTTCGATCACTTTCCATGTAGGGCAAGACCCACCGCGGATGTAACAAGCCTGGACCACGAGCCATGGTAACTCCTTTTTAGTAAATGATCCGTTCTGGGCTGGGGCAGATGAAGAGTCCTGATCGAACTTACGATTTGGCTCTTGAACTTCGTCTGGGTATGTATATTAGTACTTAGGGCCAACTCGGTGACGTATATGTATTCTGACATGTTCTTTGAGTTCTTCATCAGATGAGACACCCGATACCTGAAACAGACTAGAAGTAGATTAGTGGTGATTAAAGACATGCGAGCGCCAGTTCCGATAGAGAGACAGTACGAAAGTTGTGGTTCTATGTTATACTCAGTTTGCCTCTTCTCCAGAAGAGCTACAATGAGGCTATTCTTGCCGAAAATGCCCCCTTTCCCTTGTAGTGCTCTTGAAAACAGTTAGGCTTGGGTTGGGCTGGCGATGGTGTGACTATTTATTGCCAGTGTGCCCGCGACTTTCCTTGCGCTTCCTCAACATCGATCTGTATCTTGCGTCAGTTACATTCATTGACTATAGTGGCCTAAAGACCTTATGATGACGAGGGCTTCGCGAACTGACCTTTTTCGTCTGGTCGACCGATATTCTTGCTTCTGTACCTGTTTAATTGCCCGACTGTATATGTTAGAGATGATAGACTCGTGGATGATGTAGGATTGCAATGTAAATAGCGAAAAAGTACTCACTGGGGGCTGAAGGATCGAGTTTGTTCATTCTGCCTAGAATGAGACGATCCTGTTGACTTTGGTCTTTCGGTAGAAGCGAATCGAACCTTCCGTTTATGTCTGCCTTCCGGCTTCGTGACTAGTGACCGTATATGATTACGCTCTGCTCGGGTGAGCCCCAGCTTCTGGCGAGGAATTTTCAAAGGTGTCGAGGAGCTTGCTGGTTCTGAGGGGCAGGTTTCGCTCTCTGAGTCATCGAGCGACTTTTTGTAGGCTTTTAATATTTCATTGAAACGATCATTAGAACTATTCTTGTCGTACTGCACTATTGTGAACACAGGAATTTTGGTGGAGTTGAATATGATGGCTGTCAAAGATCCGGTTGTCTGAAAAAGAAAGAAGAGAAATTGCCGTCCACTTCTTTTAAACTTGTCAGCATGTGAAATCTTGGCAATCCCGGTAGAATTTATGATCTGCTACACGCTCGACCATGGCATCCCTCGGCGCCCGGCCTGAGTACTGGTTACTATCAATTTGGGTGGGTTGGCGAAGCTGCGCCGAAGTCAATTCGTAAGCGTACCGCGGATCCCATAATTTGGAATGCTCTACTATAAGTGTCGGCCTCCCAGGAAGTATCCTTTACAATTCTTGGAAAGTGAGAAGTCTGAAGGACACGGAAAATATCTATCTTTCGAATCTACTATATTTATTGGACTGAGCTTAAACTATACTAGTAATCTCTTCTTATGACCTACCGTTGCTATGAGAAAGAGGTAGGTGGGGCTTTTGTAAAGGCGAAGTCACAGTAGAATAAATGACTGACAGAGTTGTTGTCCTAGTTACCCGCAGTTAGGGATTCAAGGCATTTGACAATCTGCTACTATTGCTAGCAATTTTCGATCGTTGGAAATTTGCCGTAATGGGGTAGTAAAGGTACGGATAGGCAAGGCTAGGACTAATTGAGCTTCGAGATCGTTAAAATGAAGGTGGAAATAGAATCGAAGATATGAAGTACCAAGAATATGATTCTTTGTTTTTACGTCGATGAACTACGGGTTGAGATCACGCAGGAGCGGTAGCGATACAGGATTATAGGTCTACGGAATGTAAGATGGTAGAGCCAAGGCTGGTTACCTTTAGTCTTTGACCTATCGCGATCACGATTGGCCAGAAAAATTCTACTGTTCAACAACGTTTGCTTTGATGTATATTCCTGAGACTGCTGGGGCGAAAATTTTAAAGCTTCTATGGATATGATACCGACTCGCGGAGTTATGGACACAACAGGGTATCGTATTTTAGATAATCTCGGAGATGCTGAGACACTTCTTTAAAATTTCAAAGCGGCATGGATGTCAATATTTTACTTGGTTGAATTTATGTTGGCCCTATTATAAGAGACCCTCCTTAGTTTTTCTGTTTGTAAGACTGGGCCGCTGGATTGAGAGACAGACTAAATCGACTCTAGAAAATGACTCCGAGTGACTATTGAAACGTACTGACCTAAAGCGACTTAGGAACTTGAACTCTCTTTATCTATAAGATCAGTACGGGGTTATCGTACTATATGAATGTGAAAGTACTATAAATCTAGGAAATCCACGCTGACTTATGCCTTTACCCTCGATTGGAAATTCATCGGCAACATAGACGTCTTCAAATGAAGCCTGCTATGTATAAACCTGTGAAACCAAGCGTCTATGTCCTATGGGCGAAGCCTGTACATATACGTAGCCTCCCGAATGAGGAATGTATGTCGCTCAAGGCAAGCAGTTATTTGCCTACTCGCTGTATCAATAAGACTCCCTATGCGAAAATACTTAGAGAAGAGGAGGAAATGGATTTTATCTTCAACGTTACTATCAGTGCGGCTAACTAGGCTTTGCTCGCTGGCTACCTGGTCGTTCTAGGTACGTTTACCTCTCTTCAAAGCTCTGATCAGGTAGAATATGCCTTACAAGCCAACAAAGCCGGTCGAACAGTATTGCACACGATCTAGAATCCTCTATTGCTCTCCATTTCCTGTTATCTCCTTCTCGGAGGCCTTACAGCTTTCGGATGGCTTTTGCATTTTGCGAAACTCAGAAGCAATTACATATGGTTGATTAATAGGCTTTTTACGTAAGTTACTGCACCACTCGCACTACAACCAGGGTATCTGAAGCTGATTCATCAATAGGCCGATTTCGCTAAACGCCGCCGCTGGGCTATTGACTACAATTATTAACGTCTGCGCATCTCAGGGGGGAGATTGGTCTGTAATGGCCATTGTTACCACTGTCGCTACTGGGGCGACTCTTACTATCTCTCTGGCACTGTTGTGTTTCTATAAATTTCACCTTCTAGAAAAGATCAACGAGATGACACGGTCTTCACTTTTGTTTTGCCTTCGTCGAGGCCAGAATTGTGAGTCGAGGGGCTGGTATTAATTTGAGCAGGATTGACGAAGAAGATTGAAAGGAATTAGTAAGGTTGTTCTCTGAACTGTTTTCGTATTGTCATTTGAAGTTCAGAGGAACAAACCACTATGGAGATACAGCATACTGTGTGAATGCTGAAGATTTCGTATTAGATGCAATATGATGTATGATGTTCTTGCTATGCTATTTGCTACAAACACCTTGTTTCGTACTGCTCCTTAATGTCAAGTCCGATTTTCGAAAGTGTAGACCAAGCAATGAAAGGTGTTGCTGTCTTATCATGAGCCTTGCCTTCCAGAGGGCATAGTCATAGTGCTGGCAGAGTTGTGAATAACACATGTCAATCCTACGCAGCCTTTCAAAAAGCAAACAGTGAAAGGTCTGAAAGAATAAGAAAATGAAGAAAATTTCTCACGAGAAAGCTGGCTAGCCCAACGTTGACTACTCGACAAATTTGAGAAACGAATTTACTTTCATCGTTCTCAATTTTATGCCACAAGCAAGCTCTACCAAATCGTAGCTTCTGCAACAGTTGGGATATGGTGCTGAAAGATGTTGATCACTGGTGAACGAATACTGTAGTTAGGACAATGCGCAGTATTATGTATTTATTCAAATATTCTAGCATTTCTCAACTGATACTTGATTGTCCCAGTCCAGAAGCCAACTTAAAATCGAGTCCCGTACCAAAACTTGAACAGACGCACTCACCCAGTCTCGACCTACTGAGTCCGGCCACATATTTATATAAATTTTAAGTACAACATTACCCTAGAGTCGTTCCACGTCCATTCGGTCTATAGTCGAGTCTAAGTTGGTATCCCTCAAAATCCCCCAATGTTCGGATCAAGTCGACGTCTAACTTATCTATCATCAGAATGTTGCCATGCGGCAACGATATCATCAGTGGGGCTTCCATCGCATGTACCGAAAACAACATTGCTACGCCTAAAGACCCTGACACAGCTGCAGAGCTACATTGGAATACTGCCGATCTGCCTTTGTCATTGATCATTCCCACATTCGACCTGCCAACTCTGAGCGTACCTGCTGTCACCACTGCATCCTATGCCGGTGGTCAAGGTGCACCTACAGCGACAGTAACCGCCCCCAGTGCAACAATGGAGGAATCAGCTGGAAAAGCCGGCTTCGAAATCTCACGACTCTGGAGACTCTGCTTGACTTTACTTCTCATCAATCATGTCTTTCTCTGGGGTCAGTGATAGCTTGCGTTTGAGTATGAGCCATGTGGCAATTTGGAAGCACCGAGTCTACATGAATCGTGAGGAGTCCGAGTCATATAGCGGCGAACACAGAGAACTATGAGAAAAACTACAAAGTAACAAGCCCAGTGTCGATGATGTTTCAGATAAATGCAGAGGTTTTAGCAATTTCAGGATTTTATAAGAAATCAGACGTATTCTACCATGAATGGGAAAACTCGGAAAAGCATACGGTACTAAGACAGGTGCGCGCTTGGTACAAGATAAATAGAAGTGCGCCATGCATCACAGGACTCAATGTGATATAAGGCTGGATTTGATCAGGAACAAATTGCAAGATCGAATTTCACTTCGACCTCTCGACTGTGCAATCTATAACAATTTGGTTCCCAACGAAATTAGAGATCATAAATCGAAATTAAATGTAAATCAACGTGCAGTAACACATCTGATGGAGAAATCAATGCTCGTAGGATCAAACTTTGCATGTCGGTTGTGCTCACTCATGAGCCTTGAGAACGATTGTTTGCTGGCCCTACCATATCATGAGCCTCTCACATCTCATCATCTTCCCACGAGTACCACAGAACAAGATACTTGGTGACAGGTTGGCCATTCTGCATGACCGACTGTCGCGCAATTGTTTTGATTGGAATCTTTCCGTCCTATCATGAGATGTTCACTAGGTCAGCGATGTTATTGAGAATAGATCGCGATGCACTTACCTGAACACCAAATTCTCCCTCAGCTCGCGAAGACCCATGGAAAAGATATAAAACATCCGATGAATCATGCGAGGTGTATGACAATCTCTCTGAATCCGAAGCGATGAAATCACGGTCGTCACTTGTCTCCGAGGGTACCGTAGAGGATTTCTCGGAAGGGACAGAATAGGTGTCCGTGCCCTCTGACTCCTAATTCAAAAGAACATTCTTAGGGCTGGTTATGATGGCTGACAAAACAGTAATCTTGAAGGGATTGGCTGGGGTGTCAATGCTGAAAGGATGACTAGAATTGATGGGTCTTTGCAAAGCTTTATGCAGCCCGGTGTCTGGAAAGAATATCTTTCAAGGGAGTTGAATTATACGAATGGGAATTTCGAGTAAAGATTTCGTATCTGTTACATCTTTGTTAAGTAGTATTTTAAGTTCTCAACAGGCTGGAGTCTTGAGTTATCGAATGTAAAGTGAAGAGTCCTTCTTAAAATTCTGACCATCTTCATCTTTACCATATTCAACGCCTTGACTAGGATGAGTGATGCTTCGGTTTTCATGTTATTGAGCGGGGGTTTGTTGTGTTACGTGTCACTTACATATATGCCCGTAGACACGTATATTATATATGCATGCACGTTATTCCAGCCCTTATGATTATTTTGGTAGCTGGTATATACTATATAGCTCTTTGAGAAAAGGATTGTGTCTCCGAATTCAATGATGATACAGAAAAAGAAAAGTGATTGTGGTGGTGCGAGAAGGCCCCCGGGATTGGCCAAATGAAATAAACAGACCAAGCAAATACTTCTCGCATAACTTTATGATTAGCTACACATTCCACTTTCACTTCGCCTGGAATGACGATACCTTTTGATAAGTACTCTAGTAATCGTAAAGGGCTGCCACCGTTACTAGGATCGTACATCTCGATTCTCATTCTCAACTATGGCCTTCGGCAACGCAACTTGCCCATCGTGAGACAATTCTATCCTTTATGAAGGACTAATGGTCCCAAGGATTGAACCATATTGCCTTTTCATTTATTTATTCACTGGGGCCCTACGTCCTGAAAACAGCCAATTGAGTCGTTCGTTCCACCTCGGAACTGGCAGATTTCTTGAACGTAAGATATAGAATGGAAGGTAGATGTAGTCGAGATTTTCAATTAGACCTTGGATTTAATCGTCTAAATGATAGTCGTACTTCGCAGGATGGCATAACGGCTTTGGGTGGCCTTTGGTATTTTACAGTATCATGACGCATGGTCGTCATTAATGACCAATCAGTACAATACCAATACAATGTCGTTTCTGCCGGCACTAAGTGAGATGTAGATAGACCGGGCAGAAACAGATGCTGAGTAATTTTCTGCCGTATTAATCCTCGGACATGGAATCTGGACTACTGGCAGAATAATGAAGGGTAGAATTCTGCCGGAATTATAGATTGAACGAAGGATAGTTCTGCTGTTCTGCCATTCTGCTTGAATTAGCAAGTATTGTTACCTCAGGCTTCAAGCCGGTCCATGGCAGTGCACGACACCTCCTGTCCAGACAGGTATTGGCAGAAATATGGCGAGTATTTGATGATTATATAAACTGCATACTTTTTTGATTACATACAGTTGGAAATTCAAGAGCATAGCGTTCAAAGACTAGTAATAATATCTAGAATAGACCTCCGCAATGGGCCAGGTTGGGCCTATTGACTAGGCCCGAAGCCCAGCCCATTTACGGGTTGGGGCGGGTTGGGCTATGGGCTTTGTGGGCCGATGCGGAGGTCTAATCTGGAGGGAATGCGATAGGAATAGCTTTTTTGATGTCCTCAGATGAGATCTTTCTTGCTCTAGCACTTTGACTTCGAATAGTGGCATTTGAAATTTGTCTTGTTGCGAGACAATTAATTATTTAGATATGAGGCTGGCATAGAGAAGGAACAGAGCCACGCCCATGGAAATAACTCCTAAAGTGGCTACACAATGTAGCCTCCTTGCGTTCAGGAAACCCATACGCACCTTTTGAGTCCTACGCAGATCATATTTTCGATCATCCTGTCTCTTTGTGTATACAATATCCCTGACAGATTCGAGATGTAACGCCGAGCTTTCTAGAGATTGCTCTTTTTGACTGATGATTGGCTGTGCCAAGACCAGAATCAGATAGGTCAACGCAGATCAGTACAAATGCTTGAATGATTGAAGGGCAGCTCGTGTCCGAGGGTTTGCGAGCCTGTGTACATGCTCGTGTTAGCAATGGTACTGTAAGATAAAATTGCCATTAAGGAAAGACTTAAGTGAGCGGGCTCGCTCTAGACGCGCGTTAGCCTTGGTATGTACTCAATCGACTTTGGATGAATAAGACGTCAAACGCTGGTGAGTTTGTAGATGGCATTGAGAAGATCTTGTCGGTCAATTTGCCTTCGCTTACTTTAATGTTCGTGCGTTTTTACTAGCGATAAAGTGTTCGATCTAATCCTTAAGAAGTAGTCTTTATCAAATTCTAGTTGTTATAGGAGGCTTTATTCTTGATATACAATCGAGTTGTTACTATGTGTTTACCTTACTTCTTTCACCGTTTATGTCTCGAGCTGCGGGCGTAAATGACTGTTGGCCTATAGGCCTTGGATTTAATGTAAAGGACAGTGGAAGAGGAACGCTTAAGGAGTAAACCAGTTGATGATCTAATTCTTTTAACGCGACACTTAAAAGATACGAGTTACTTAAGACCGTTGAGAGAAGAACAACCTAGAGAAATCTGTAACAAAAATTGAGACTACTTAATTTGAACTGGCTAGCTCCTTTTACTTCTTTTTCTTTCCTTCATCGGAAAATATATCAAAGAAATTATTCTATTCGCTGTCAAAGGCAACTCTACAATAACTACCACTCCAAACACCCGACCAAGTCGATCTGGTTCGAGCAGGAAAGCAAAGCGCCAGAAACAATATCGCCGTAAATCAAGTCTTATAAAGAAAGCATGCGAATATAGCAAGATGTATAACGCAGATGTCTGTCTGGGTATACGTCTCCGTAAAACGGGCTAAGTGTTCATTTTCTCAGCGGACGCTTCCGGATTTTAGGCCTTTCTTCGTTCTGAACTGGTAAGTTGGCTATAAACGTCTAATATGAAAGATAATTGACTTCCCTAGGCTTCGCGTTATCCGAGGCCGAAACTAGTGACGGATTAAGATCTCGCTGTGCTTTAAAGCGCTTGCCTTACGAAGGGATGTAAGATATAAAGAGTCGCGACGTGCTAACATAGTGCAGATCTTGGGGATCTGTGCTTCTAAATTGAACCGTGGGAAGATTTGGGCCTTTAGAGCGGGGCTAGGCAATGGTATCGTGTCGATTCTTCTCACCTTCGAGAAGTCTTGGACGAACGTTGCTCTTACTCCCTATCGTACAAAACTGGCGGTTGTGTTGGTCCCTTGCCTCTGATATCAATGTCGCTGAGCCCAGTCTCATTTGACTTACTAGTCGTTGCTTTTGATTGAATATCGTTTCTTACTAGTAAGTCTGGCCACAATCTCTAGCGGCCTTTAGATAAAGTCTTGCTTGGCCTGTGCCCATATCCTCCCCTCCAGGGTTGTGAATGGAGGATCATTGACTTCGATAGCTACAAAATTTCCTAGATTGTCGTCCTACAGTTGCTCTTCCTTTTATCTATTCTAAATTGGTACCCCGAACGGATATTAAGTAGAATCCTAGAATAATGTCAAACTTCGCAAGTTACCTATAAAACGATCGACAACTCAAGATACGTAGTTATGTAGTTCGTTACTGTACAAAATTACGTATTAGCTACAGGCTCAGAAGCATTGCTGCTTGAAATATTTGCGATATAACCAATACTTAAGAAAAACATTAAAATACATAAACTTATGAACCTAAAATCATTCGAATAAATATATTGATTAAGATCTCAGTCTGTTTGATCGGCGTAACGGAGGCCTTTTGAGGGCTTTCACGTGACTAGGTCGTTTTTTCTCTTCCTTCCCTCTATATATTAGCTGCTCTATTTAGCACTTTCTCCGAGATAAGCGTTTCACCTATTGTGATCGAGACTTCGACTCTAGCGCAGAAGCGGGTTCTGCTAACTTTGCCGTACTCCTCGTTGATTATCTTATTGTAGGTTTAGCTGACTTAGGGTAAGAATATCCACTAGAGGGCGATAAACCTCTAGTATCTGGCTAGGTCGGCAAATTTATCGCAACGGGGATAGGATGTGCCTTAAATAAGCGTAGGTCAATGTTTTACATCTCGAAGTCGACGGAAGAGGCGGGAGTCTTAGTCTTTTATCGATTTCTAGATACTAGAGACGCTTCTTTGGATAAAACGTCGCTATAGCTAGTTTGTGATGCCTATAGGAGATAAGACAATTTAATATTGATATTATATAAATATTAAGTAGAAGTATAAGCTAGAAATTCGGTAATATCGCTAAACGGGGGAACCTCGCGATAGGTTTCCTAATTATAGCTAATTCTATCGTACGTATAGACTAGATGTGTATTAATTAGGTAGCGATGAAGAGAATCCTGTCGATTAGGAGGGAATTTATACGGAAGGGGGTTCGATGATAATTGACGAGATAGACTATAGTAAATTATGTATATATTAGTTATATAATTTAAAGTGTCTCCCTCGAAGGGCGGCGATTCTTCTAGTTAATTAAGGAAGTCGTCGTCTTTATCGTTAATATTCTAATTGACTCGATTACCTCGCCTATTCGGTTCGGAAAGCCGTAATAGCGTAACTATATCCCTAGTGACCTAGATACGTCGAGCGAGTAGCCTACCTTTATTAAAGTCCTCTGTATCGGGTCCGTAGAAGTTTTCTACTAGGCGTACCCGCTTAGTAAATATATAATCTAGAGTAGGCAATTCCTAGCTTTTATTACGAGAGTTTTTATCTTCCGGAGCTTTAGTAGAGGCTTCGTTAGTATTGCCGAGGAGTTACTTTATCTGTCTGTCGATTTCTAGTACGGGCGTATTTTAGAAATAGTCTTTCCTAGCTGCCTCTCGTGTGTCGGTCGCTAGCCTCTTTCGAAGTTAAGCTATTTTTTTCTTGATATCCTGATATTTTTAGTAGAGGTATAGAAAGGGAATTCGAGCATTTTTGATAGTACCGGCTAGGGATCGTATTTCCGCCCCGAGCTCTCTCTGCTTACGTCTAAGCTATAAGATATCCGGATTCTAGCGAATAGTACGCTTATATGTGTTGGTAAGCTCAGACGGAGTATTAATATCCCTTTTTCTGAGCATGCTCCCTACGAAACGATGTAGGTCTTCTTGAGATGGCCGAAGAAGAACGATATACTAGAGATCGCGTCCGATGAATTGTGACTGATAATGCCTTTCGAAGACGGCGTCGCCGGACTGACTAAGCACCCTTTGCCGCTCCTGGCTAGTAAAGTTCCCTAGAAACTGCTAGTCAAGATCGAGAAGACAAGATTTTTATCGTTTCTGCGTACGAAGAACTTACGATTGACTTTATTTGCCGTCTAACGGCGAAAGTTATAATATCTAATATCGTCTTCGAATTTAGCATCCCGGCCTA